CATGGTGGTGGGCACCTGTAGTCCCAGCTACGAAGGAGGGTGAGGTGAGAGAAATGCTTGAGCCTGGGAGGCAGAAGAGGCAGTGAGCTGAGATCGCACCACTGCACTCCAGCCTGGCGAGAGAGACCTTACCTCAAAAATAAATAAATAAAATAAAATTCATATATACTCTCAGCTCCACTTTGGATCAAGGATACACATTTTAGCAAACGATCACTGTGGACTATCTTGGGCATTTACGTGAAAACACACTACTGTGCTGAGGACATCCTGGGAATGGATTTAAATTAGCTGTGGGCTGCTTACTTTTTCTTTGTTCAGTGGCCACAGTCCACCCCTTATGTGGTAAGGCCCACTGAGTAAAGAAAAAGTAACCAGCCCAGAGCAAATTTAAATCCATTCCCAGGGCAGCCTCAGGACAGTTAAGTATACTGATCAATCTCACCTTGCTTTCAAATCTACAGTTTAAATTCTCAGTTTTAAACTCAGATGAAATTTAAAAAAGTGTGTAGTTATTTTTGAAATGAGTAGTGTGTTTGTGAACAAAATCCCAAGATTTTAAAGTTGGAATTAGTCTGGGCACATGGCTCATGCCTGTCATCCCAGCACTTTGGGAGGCTGAGGGGGGTGGATCGATCACCTAAGGTCAGGAGTTGGAGAGCAGCCTGGCCAACATGGCAAAAATAGTCTTTACTAAAAATACAAACAAAATTAGCTGGATGTGGTGGTGGGTGCCTGTAATCCAAGCTACTCAGGAGGCTGAGGCATGAGAATGGCCTGAAACTGCAAAGTGGAGGTTGCAGTAAGCTGAAATCCCGCCCTGCACTCCAGCCTGGGTGACAGAGTAAGACTCTGTCTCAAAAAACAACAACAAACCAAAAAAATGAAGTTGGAATTAAAATATTTTGGAAACTATTGTATTTTATTAATATCTCTAATTTATACTGATGCTATAGCAAAATTATTTATTTACATGTTGAATTCCTCCACTGAATGTCAGCTCCTTAAGAGGACTCGTTCATAGACCTCATACAAAGACATTCAATATTATGGAATGAATAAATGATTACCAAATCACTAAAAATATAAAGAGCAGAATAATGACTTTCAGCTTGAAATGGCTTCTTGAATGTCAGTGTCCCTTTTAATTTTCCTAGAGGTACTTTTGAGACTTAACATTATTCCTGTTGTTTTTTTTCCTGTAAAAATAAAATTGTTATAATACAGAAAAATCTTGACTAGCACTCAAAAGTTTGAGGTACTTATATTTCATTCACTGTCACTATAAATATTTCTAAAATACAAATTCAGCAAACAAGGGAAATGTTCACCTTCCATAATCATCAAAGAAATACAAATTAAAGACCAAGTAAGCTACCATTTTATACCCAAGAAAACAAACATTTTAAAAATAAATTATATTTTAAAGCCTAGCCATTTGGGCAAAATTCTAATATAATCAACTCTACAGAACCACCTTTTTGTTATAGAGAAAGTGAATCCCAAGAACCCACTTGGTATCTGTAAAAAGCTGAATCACAGAAACAAACCCCAGAAAAGGAATGAGTAATGTACAGCATTCTGTATTCTTTGCTACCTGTAGGATCTCCTTGTGGTGTGATGTTGATTTTGGTGAGCGATTCAAGAGTTAAAAACTATCTGAAGTCAAGGTATAAGGCAGGGGAAGAGAGTTAAAGATGAGCAACTTTAAAGAACTAGAACGTGTACTACTGAGTTCTCTCTGGTTACCCAACTTAACAAAGTAAACTGCATGGGATTACATACTCCTTAGTGAAGACAGTGAGAGTTACCTGAGTAAAAACAGAGAAAATATTTCTCATTTTAGATTACTAATTGTTACCAGAACTACACTTTATTATTTGCAAGGAAGGGCCACTTCTACTTCTGTTGGCTCCAGCCTTAAAACTGGAGTAACAGTTACCAATACAAGTAGTCCTTTGGTGTGGCTGGGTGCAAATGGCAGTGGGCTCTCCCTTTACCATCATCTGAAGCTACATAGACAAGGGAAGACTTTGGAGTATCTGCAGTATTTCAAAGAGCTTTGAAACCTGGATTCTTTGTAATGGTGCCCTCTGAAATTAAGTTTTATTGGCATTTTTATTCTCTTAGAATAAAATGTTCTTTTAACACTAAGGCACTCAGAAAATTCATTAAGAAAGAAATATAAGGCCAGGCACAGTGGCTCACGCCTGTAATCCCAGCACTTTGGGAGGTTGAGGTGGGTGGATTATGAGGTCAGGAGTTCAAGATCAACCTGGCCAACATGGTGAACTCCAATGTCATCTCTACTAAAAATACAAAAAAATTAGCTGGGCTTGGTGGTGGGCACCTGTAATCCCAGTTACTCAAGAGGCTGAGGCAGGAGAATTGCTTGAACCCAGGAAGCGGAGGTTGCAGTGAGCCGAGATCACACCATTGCACTCCAGCCTGGGTAAACAAGAGCGAAACTCCATCTCAAAAAATAAATGGAAGGAAGGAAGGAAGGAAGGAAGGAAGGAAGGAAGGAAGGAAGGAAGGAAGGAAGGAAGGAAGGAGAAATGATGCATAAATACAAATGATGCACAACCTCATCCTTAAATAACTGAAAAACAAGATACTATTTTTTTTCACCTATCAGATTGTCAAAAGTTAAAGAGTTTGATAACAGCATCGCTAATCGAAGTGTAGAAAAACAGGTAATTACTTGCATGTAGGTATGTAAAGAGAGACATACACACCACAACCTTCACTGTCTGTACTGGCAATAAAATGGAAACAGTGTAAGCATCCATCAATAAAGATATTATGGGTTGGATGTTTGTCCCCTTCAAATCTCACGTTGAATTGTAACCCCTGATGCTGGAGGTGTTTGGGTCATGGAGGAGGATCCCTCATGAATGTCTTGGTGCCTTCCTAATGGTAATGAGTCCTCACTTTAAATTCATGTGAGATCTGGTTGTTAAGAAGTTGGGACTCCCTCCCTTGTTTCCTCTCTTGCCATGTCACACACTGGCCCCCACTTTGTACTTCCACAATAATTGAAGACTTCCCGAGGCCTTACCAGAAGCAGATGCTAGAACCATGCTTCTTATACAGCCTGCAGAACAGTGAGCCAAAATAAATATTTTTTCTTTATGAATTACCCAGTCTCGAGTATTCCTTTATAGCAACACAAATGGATTAACACAGATTGTGTGACCAAAAAATGGCACACTAAGTAGCCCTTTAAAAAGAAGGGTAGGTCTGTATATGTTTATACAGAAAGATCAAGATGGATTAGCTGAAAAAGGCTTGTATAGAACAGTATATGCAATTCAATCCCTTTGCTTTATTTTGTTTTAAAGGATATACATATCAATCACTTTTACTGAATTCAACATTTATATGGAAAATCTAATGTCCTCGCTTCATTTCTCTATTCCCTTTCATACCGAAACTTCAAAAAGTTGCCTACATATGCTATACTGTATTTCATTCATCATTTCTTATTTATTCTTCAATCTGCTCCAAACAGGTTTCCACCCCGATCATCAGTGACCTCCATGTTGCCACATCTGGCAGCCATTTCTCTGTTCCCAACTTACTTGTCTTTTCTGCATCATTTAAAAACTGACTGCTCTTTTCTTCTTGAAACACCTCTATCTGAACTAAATTTTTGAGTCCGGCATCCTATCATCTTTTCCATTTACACTTTTTCCTTGGGAAAAAATCATTCAGTCCCATGGTTTTAAATAACATCTTCTGAAATTTATTAGTTCAGTCTGATCTCTCTGGTGATTTTTATACTAGTAAATCCAAGTCAATCTGACATTTTCACTTACATTTCTAACTTAATTAGAAGAAAAATTAGAATTTCTCTCACAGAACTTAAATTATTTCTCTCACTTCCAAAAATTATGACTTATAACTCCCCCAGTTTTCTCTCTCAGTAAATGGCACCACATACATGGAGTGCTCATGGCCAGAGTACCAGCAGGTTACCCATGATTCTATCTACCTTTGAATCCTCCATATCCCATCCATTAAGAAGTTCCACCGATTCTCTTCAATATCCTACTCTATACCTGGCTCTTTTGCCCCATGACAAAACGGCACAAGTGACTAGTCACTCCCAATGCCTTTAAGGTTACATGCTAGCCATGTGAGGTTCTGTTCTCCATTTAAGTTACTTGTGTAATTATATACCTTATAATTTATAAGGTCTGACTCCTTGCTTGGATATGTAACACGACATAGCATAAACTAAATCATTCTAAAAATAGCATTCATGTGATTATCTGCCTACAGATTTCTAAAACCAGGTGCCTAAATGGGCCTTTTATTTGTTGGCAGTTAAAGACAAAGTCTCTTACCCTCTTCTTCCCAGGCTCAGAAGCACGAGTATCATAATCATCGGGGAGCTGAAGATAATCCTCCATTCTGCTGGCAATGGCCTCCCAGTCACGTTTCCTTTTAGTACCAGTCCTCAAGCCATCCAACTTGTCTGAGGGACAAACACAGAGCCGTAGCATTAAGGAAGAGTGTGAGTTTGCACACCACACACACACAGGGGAAAAGAAGGCTGGAACACTTTCAGAGGGCATATCCACATTTCTGAGTGCAGCATCACTTGCAGATCCAAACTATATCTTCTTGGCTGATATAATATCAAGTTCTGTGCAATTTCCATTGTTTAGTATTCACACTGGTAGCCGTTATGTTTATGATGTTGGTTTAAGTAGCAAATATGGGAAAGGCAAGAAAAGGCACTTGGCTCCTGGCCTCCTTGTCCTCCCACCCACCACAGCTCTCATGTTCTGATGGCAAATACACAGTTGGGCTTTTCTAGACAGTGTCTTCCATTCTTTTTCTTTCTTTAGCACAATATTAACACCACCCATTTGATCTGCAATCATGTTTGATACTTTGTCATATGAAAAGTTTGATACTTTGTCATATGAAGTACCAAGAACTTAATAAGCCAACCTCATGTTTAAGGTTTTAGATGAACAGTTTTTTGGTGGATTTTGGTTGCTGTGAGCGCATTCACCATGAATTAATGTTCACGAATAAGCTTACTATATGAGATCACCACTTTCTTTGGTTATACCAGGAAGGGCTGTTGACCATTTCTGAGGCAAAGGGCTAGTGAGCCTGTTTTACCAGACCTGATAATTCTTTCTGCAGACTGAATCTGAGAGGGCTAGGCTTTCCAATTCAAAAACTGTAATCAATAAATGAATAGGGATTGTGGATTCAGAAATTAGGAGTTTAGGTGTCTTAAAGAAGAACACGCAATGAAAATGTGTTGAGTCTTTTATTGGTTATTAATAATTGATTTTGAATACTACATGTAGGATATTATGAGCTATATACATTTTTTGCTACAATGAAGCACTAAACTTTTGAATCATCTAAAATTATATAAACACACTAACATTAGGCAGGCCAAAGAAGAAAAGACTAAAACTTCAGAAACACAGCATAACCACACTTCACTGAATTCTATAAAGGGTGCAGAGTGTATATAATAAAAATCTTTTAGAGACCACGTTGGAGAGAAATTTGTATGAAAAGTGCAATGAAAGCAGCAGCAGAAAGGGTGAGTTTATGTTTCAAATATAAAAGTTTCACACACAACTGACTGTTACAAGCTTCAAAAACCAGTAAGATTTTGCATTTTCGGCAAAGTTTTTTGTTCCTAAGCCCCTTTCCCATAAAAGTGATTATCATTGTAATATCAGTAAGGCAAACTGCAACAGTTTATAAAACTCACAAAAATTTTAATCATCTCATTTTGGCAAAATTTTAACATGTATGGATTTGACAGATCAGTCTTCTAATCTCTGGAATCACATGCTGTACCAAATGGCTCTATCTACATGTATAAGTATGGCCATATTATACATGATCTCAAAGAAGTGACCCCTTGACTGCACAGGGACACAGGTTATGGTATTAGAAAACCAACGAAGTCCCACAAACAATAAAACTGTTCTCAGTTCAACAGTGTACAGTATTACTGAAAGAGAAAGAAGCTCCAACACACTTATTAAATAAACCTCAAAGGATTTCCAAACTTAATATAACTTTGACATTAACATACTTCAAAGTAAAAATTTCATTATTTCAGTTCCAACCACAGAGCACAGCCAGGCAGCAATACAGAAGCACAGTGTGAAAACTGCAAGAACTTCTCCTTATACACTGGGTAAATATGACAGGAATTACAGTTGCAACATGGAATTTCAGAAGAGCATGTATTTCTAGTCTGAGCACCCTTGTTGAAATGTTTAATTTGAAATTTTATTGTGCAAACATGTTTAAAGTTTCCTTCTTGGGCTGAAGAAAGGCTCACACCTCTTCCATATGGCATACTGGAAACCAAACACACAAATGGATGGTATAAGGTGAGGGGAGAGAAATCTGGGGTGTTCATTACAGAAGAAAGACTGGTGTTCGATACACGCATACTAATGATTTTCAGAGATTTCAAAAGATGAAGTTTTAAGATGAAGATGAAGTTTTAAATCCAACTTGGCAGATCACAGAATTTTACCACATATTTGAAATAGTACGTATTATAGCACAACAGAAAAATTCCTTAGATACAGCTATGTATTTTCTAAATGTAAATGGTATTTCTCAAAATCTGTTCAAAGTAAACATACAAGGTTATGCACCTATACAAATAATAATTATATACCAACTCTGAAGAGATGAATCTGACATGCAGAAAACCAATAAACAACTCATGAGTAGAGACAAATGACACTGAGATGAGAAAAGCAAAAGTGCTTTATATGAAGAAACCTAAATTAGGATGATAACAGTCTCAAACATTCTAGCTTCAGAGTATGAGAAACTAAAATCATGTCACTGGAGTTTAAGTAGCTTCAATGCTGAATCCCAGCACCTGATATGGCAAGTAACAATCCACCCTTACATTAGGGTGCCTGTGTCCCAGCAGAGAAGAACCAGTCTGGTGGGACTGAAGGTGGGCCACAGGCAGCCTTCAACAACTGAATGCCAAGGGTAGCTCAGGCCTGCTCTGAACTGTTCTAAAATCACAACACTTCCAATTTAACATTCAGGCACAGGCTGAACTGTATACTCTATTTAATGAGCATAGATCAAGAATCTGCAGTAAGATCTAACCAGCTGCTTGAAAGACTATAGGTAAGAATGTTCCCACTGGCAGACTCATTTGTGAATCAAAATTCCTCTGTTTCAGAGTCAACTGTTTTCGCTCAACACGTGACACTGCTAAAATTTAATACATTTCCACCCAGTATAATCATTTCCCAAGTGTAATTGAAGAATGTTGGTAAAGTACTAAGAAAATTAAATTGTACATGGTAATCAAATTATATTAAATTTGTTATAAGGAAGGCAGCATAAACAGGCTAATTCTCAGACACAAGATCCCCATGTTTTAGAGAAGAATCTTCTCAGTTGGCTCAATGGACCAACCTTAAAGAAGTAAGCACTTTCAAGAATGTATACTCAATTTGCTTTCCTCTGTGGCGGGATTAGCTCTCAATACAGTGGTGCAAGATACAGGTCCTATATACGACATCACTGTCACTCTTGTTAAAAATAAATAAAAACCCAACTGCAAATACGTTAAAATTTATTTTCTAAATTTATTGTCAGATCTTCGATGCCTTTTATTGAAATGGTTTATTTTAAAAATCCATTTCTGGAATTCATTGTCTACTATTCTGTCTTTAAAACAGTTTGTATAAAATGTATTTTCTGAGAAGCAAATGGTAGATAGGCCAGAACTTTTTCCAGAAATTCCAGTATTAATATATATTCTTGAATAATCATCACAACTAAATTCCCTTTTCCTTTTAGAAACAGAAAGAAAAGTAAAAGATGGACTAGATTGAGTTTAAAACAGCATTACCCAGATCATGTATTAAATGAGGCCTCTGAAGATTACATGTTTAGCTAATATTTATCACTTTTACATTCATCTTACCTATCTCTATGATCTCTCTTTGCCCCAAAAGATAATATGTAGAGAACAAGAAAAGTGATCTTAGCATATTATGGGTTAGTCTAATGTACAGAACTTCACAGAGAGTTAATCTAATGTCGAAATAAGCAGAACTAAAACATTATTATTATTTTAAAAGTATTTTCCAATTTTTATTTTCCCCCATATTTAATTGCATTTAAGGGTATAAGTGCTTTAAGGGTCTCTGGAAGATGAAAACTGGTTATTATTAAGGTTTCCCATAGAAGGACGACTACTAGAATATGTCAAAAACCACATATAATTTTCACATGACACACACTAAAAAAAATTTTTTAGACTTTGACAAAAAGCAATACCAGTAATGTAATAATAAAGTTTGTGGAACTGTCTTTTAACACAGGACCTGGTCAACACCCACTGCTAACACAAGTAGTTGGGGCAAATTAAAGGCATAACTTACTTAACTGCATGTCAAATGCACTACTCTGATGTCAGAAACACATGTCCTAAGCAATGAGGCAGCTAAATGACTCAAATTTCTTGTATCAATTTAAGATACTTCACTGGTTTCTTTAGTTTTGGAGTATAATACCAGGGAAAGAAACAAAAACTGATAGTCATACTTCATTGTAAGGCTGATCTCAAAAAGTCCTTAGCACATTGTTTTAATTTTTATTGATACATCTTAATCAACATGTCAAATTGTTCTCTTTAAGCAAAGCAAAACTGAAAAAATATTTTGCAGTCTTCACCATCAAGTACTACAGGGAATCCACTGGACATGTATGACTTTTTTGTTTGACAGATAACTTCACATTAAGCAACTCCAAATTCTGATGTAGACAATCATTTAAACTGGTTTACCTGGGAATTTGGCATTAATGACTTGAAGAAAAATTTAAACTAAATTTTATAAAGTAGGCTCCTCAAAAACCTGAATTATATGATCTACTTCTCTCTACTTAGAGACTCTCTTTTATTATACAAGGAGAATAAATGCCTTTTAATTAATTTTAAACTTTATATTATTATCTGAAGTATTCATAATCAGGTTTAACTTTGGACTGCACTTATTCTTTTAAAAAAGAAATCTCATCAGCACCAACATTTCTGATTAATATAATAGATTTTATAAGTAACAATATTTTGTTGCTAAATTATCAAATAATATTTCTGGTTGACTCTAAAAACTTTAAATAGTATTGAAAGCAGTTCTTTTAAAGTACTTATCACTTTGTCACAAGATATAACTAGTCAAACCAAAAGCCAGCAAAATAGATTGGAGGATATAAGGTAGGCCAGGAATCTCTGTTCCAGTAGAAGTTTTAGGAAATTTGTTCCTCTTATAGCAGAAAGATCTACAACCATTACCATCAGGTATCACATATAAAAACAGGAAAAAGGAAATACCCACCTAGCTTTGCCTCAGATGTGTCCATCTCCCATTTGCTTTTCGGAATGTAACCCTAAATCGTACACAGAGAGAAGCTCGAAGGGTTAGAAAGAGACACATACATGCATATCACGTTTGAACTGGAAAAGCATTAAAATTGGGAATGGATTCAGTTTCCACTGACTAGCTGTAAATACATCCTTAGGGGAAACACAATCTCATTATCTTTGAAGAAACTAAATGACCAAATTCACCAAACTTCCCATTTCAGAGCAGTCACTTCAGAATAGTATCATGAAGGCGCTTTGAGGCAGCTACAGTTCAGGACTCATAACTGTAGTCTGAACAACAGCTGTATAGCAAATACAATAAGAACGTACAGGTAGTTACTGTGCTAATATTAATATTATTCAGAGTATCAGAGAATTTGTAATACTAGCTAGGTTATCTTTTAAATACAACTGCTATTCTCAAGTGATAGTAGCCATAAGGTCCAAAAAGTATTCTTCAAGATAGTTACTTTATATTTCAGTAATTTTAAGTACTCAAAAGGAAGGAAAATTGGTAGCACTTAACCCGATTACCCGATTATGAAGTTCAACTTCATTTTAAAATGACTCAATTCATTTATCAGTTAGAGCATACAAAGGCTAATTTTACTGAATCAATTTCAGAACATTTTTATCAGTTGAAAACTAGATTATTATTTCTGATGTTTTTTGAAATTATGTTTTCTTATTACATGAAAAACCAGAAATCTCCACTGGCAACTTACATCCTATATTTCATAAAATAACTGGGTGGCTTATTTCAAACTCACTCCCGAAAGATTTTCAAATTTCCCAATGTGTCTATTGAGCTATGCAGCAATCATTTGTTTATTCATCTAGCAAGCAGATGCTCTGACCATGTGATTCCCCTTTACCTTCATTTAGACTCTGTTGTCTATTAGACCTAACACACAGAAACGTTAATATTAGAAACTAGTAAATAGGACAGACTCATCAAAAGTGTCAGAATCTTCTTTTATGAATAAATCTCTCTCTCTACTGTTCGGAATGTTCAAGTTCATGAAACAGACTGATACACAGGTAAAGTAAGTCGCAAAGCATTTTGAAGACTTCATGACAACAGCTTCTGCGTAAGTTTACTAGTCTTTAAGCCAAAACTAATAATTAGATTTCAACTTAATTACTAGGTAGTATTTTGGGTGAAAATTATATATTTTCCAAATACAAGACAAAGCTATGCTGAAGTGATAGTGCTAAAGGTACTGGGAATACTTATACGAGTTATATCTCAAAAATCATCTGAAAACTTTAAGCATCACAGGAATAACATTAAGTATAAATTTTATCTACTAGGTTCAATGAAGCATTAAAGAAGGCAAACTATCATACCAATGATCCCCTAAAAAGGATTCTCTTTACCAGCAAAAGTTTGGATTTCACCCAGCAATATCAATTAGTGCAGAGTGGAAAATGCAAGGTTTACTGAGAATTCCATTTAAATGGTCTGAGTGGTTGATATGAAACTTGCTCTTACCCTTGGTTAATATATTCTCCAAAAATCTTTTACTCTTGAAATAGACTCCAATAGTAAAAGATTTTTTTCAATTCTGCATCTTTGAATAGGTTAAGAGAAGTTTTATAACCAGGTTAGGCAAACAAATGTATTCATTTCCCCCTGCTGGAACCATCCTTTGTTTCCTTTAAACTGTATTATCCTTCCATTGCTTGAAATTGTGTGTCACTTGGAAATAAAACAGATAATCCAGTAGGGTAGAATTCTAAGGCTTCCTTGCCATGCCGCTGATGTAAAATTATAGTATTACAGTGTGTTTCATTTTAAAAAGTAATAGTACGTTCAATTAAAATTTCTCAAGTTTTGATCTACACCTACACAAGTCAGACATTATGAACCGTATCTTGAACTGAAATCTCCACAAAAGAAAGACGGAGCTTCAGAAAGCTAAAACATTATAGACTTCTCACATGATTGGTTTCTAGTACACACGCTGCAAATGGCTAAAGAAGTCATTAGCCATATTCCAGAAGAGCGTGGACCTTTTAATGAATTTCCTGCCCACATTTTAAATTATATATGCCAAAATACAACTTAATTAAGAAAAATAGATTTAAAAAAACACATACTGAGACTCAAATGCCATTAACTTTAAACTTATTTTTTAATCCACATTTGAAATCTTGGAATGTAGAGGTTGACACCATCTTTATAAAAACACAGTTTTTATCAAGAGTCCTCTATATCACACATGGGTTAGATGGGACCACTCCCTGGAGATTCTGTATACTCTAGGGGTAGGTATCCGAGTTCTCACTTTGTACATTTTCAAAAGAATATGAGAAGCAACTTTAGCCAGGGCTCAAGTATTAAATAAACCAACTAATATTCTGGATTTAAAAAGCAACACTATTCCAAGGCATTGCTAATCTCTGTACTTCATCAGCAAACACTGAAAAGTCAAGGTAACTCTATAGGTCGCATATTCTTGAATGACAGGGAAAGGCAAACATCTCTACAGAGGTGTGATCGAAAGCATTTTACATTAGGTACACAGAAACTTTGAACTCACACTATGTAAGCCTCTAATCAGCCTAAGCAAAATCCATTGCCTAAACAGTCATTTAATTTTTCCCCATCAGTTAGGATAAAATGCAGAACAAATCTAGCAGCCAGTGGCAACCCTCTGCCTCCCCATTCAGTAAGTTCTTCTGCCTCAGATGACAGAAACTCAATTTGGAGATCTTGTAGCAAAGAAGAGACAATTATGCATATGTTGGGTAGGCTGGGCCACATATCTGCTGGAATGTAAGAATGCCCTTTTATATGTAACTGATTTTCTTAAAGGTATACTCCCCTTAAACCACCCACAAATAGATGAGTACAAGAGTAAGTTTCTTAGCACTCTGTTAAAACTTTCTTTTAACACCACAGTAGAGGATTCTTTTGGTGTGGGGAAAAATAAAGAGTATCCAAAAGTCTCCTTGAAGATGATTTTGGAAACTTTTACCATTAAAGTATATTTTCAACAGTAGTTGTCTGACCACAGATCTGAATTTAAACCTTCTTTAAGAATTTTAATAAAGAGACACTGTTCAAAGTGGTTGGTCTGTCTCCTACCAGTTCGCTTTCCTCTTCCTCTGCATCTTTCTTTTCTTCTTTCTGTTCTTCAATATTTGCATCGAAATCTTCCATCTCTACCTACACCAACCATTTAAAAAAAACAAACTGAGTTAACATATAGAAAAATGTTGACTCCCTCTTTGAGATCTGGAATGAACACAGTTGCCCAGAGCAAGACAGACTCACTGCTACATACCAAGTAATTTTTAACACCTTAAATTTTGAAACAGAACTGATAAAAGACAGGATATTATTGCCTTTAATTTTCCTTGAATATCCATCTTTATAATTTCCTGTAAAATTAAGTATAAGTGCTAAGTAGATAGTTACCTATCTGGATGCCCATGGATTACGAGAATTTCTTTTAAAATTCTTTAACAAGCATTTTTCCAATCAGGTGAAACATGTCAATGATTCAAATTTCAAAACATAAGAAAAAGTATAGTGAAAAGTAGGATGATATTGGAATGATATTGGGTGGCCCAGAGTAGTAGCAAGATGAGATGAGCAGATGAGTTACAGAGGCCATAAAAAGGTTAAACTAAATAAACTTGCTTGACTACACGACAGGTTTGAACACTGGCATAAAGGCAGAGTAAAAAGTCAGGGCCAGCTGCGGTGGCTCACGCTTGTAATCAAAGTAAACTGGGAGGACAAGGCAGGTGGATCATAAGGTCAGGAGTTCGAGACCAGCCTGTCCAACATGGTGAAATCCTGTCTCTACTAAAAATACAAAAATTAGCCAGGCATGGTGGTGGGCACCTGTAATCCCAGCTACTTGGGAGGCTGAGACAGGAGAATCGCTTGAACCTGGGAGGCAGAGGTTGCAGTGAGCCGAGATCATAGCACTATATTCCAGCCTGGGCAACAGAGTAAGACTTTGTCTCAAAAAAAAAAAAAAGAGTCAGGCCTGGGCACGGTGGCTCACACCTGTAATCCCAGCACTTTGGGAGACTGGGGCAGGAGGATCACTTGAGTCTAGGAGTTCAGGACCAGTCTGGGCAACATAGTGAGACCCCCATCTCTAAAAAATAAAAATAAAAAATTAGCTGGGCACAGTGACATGTGCCTGTAGTCTCAGCTACTCAGGAGGCTGAGGTGAGAGGCTCATTTGAGCCCAGGAGTTGAGGCAGCAATGAGCTATGATCATGCCACCACACTCCAGCCTGGACAACTGAGTCAGACTCTGTCTCAACAACAATAATAACAAAAGAGTCAGGAATAATTCCCAGAGTGCTGGTTTCAGCCATCAAGTGGTTAGGGTTCTAATTACTAAAACAGAGACTACTAAATGAGAAACAGGTTTGGACGAACTACATTTTGGATTGGTTGAGTTTGAGGTATACTAAGATAATATATATTTTTTGGAGAGAATTTGGAAAAGAATAGTAGAAAGAAGGTTATAAAAATCACCTATACTCCCTCCATTCGGAAACATTACCATCAAGATAGTAATATAACTCAGTCTAGACTTTATAACATTAATGGCATATAAGTGTCAATCCAAGCTCCTAGAAAGATTTGGGTGATCTATACAGAGGGTACAAAATAAAAACAGAGCCTAGGATAAAGCCCTAAAGAATGGGTAGCAGGAGAAGTCAGCAAAGGAGACTGAAAAGAGATAACCAAAAAAGTAAAAGGAAAACCAGAAGAATGTGAATTCACAAAAGCCAAGAGAAAAGTATGTTTTTTAAGAAGGTGGGCATAGTCAACTATATTACATTTGGCTGCAAAATTAAACAATAAGGGAAATAAAAACTGTCCACTGTCACGGAGATCATTAGTGAGATGGCTGCCAGACAATAACAGTGGCAGAAACCAGAAAGAAATAGGTTGAGGAGTGGCATGGGAGTTAAAAACACATAAAAGCACAATGACGGCTGGGCACCACGGCTCACGTCTAATCCCAGCACTTTTGGAGGCTGAGGTGGGCAGATCACTTGAGGCCAGGAGTTCAAGACTAGTCTGGCCAACATCATGAAACTCTACTAAAGATATAAAACCTAAAAATATAAAATTTAAGCCAGGTGCAGTGGCACATGGCTGTAATCCCAGCACTTTGGGAGGTCCAGGTGGGAGGATCATGAGGTCAGGAGATCTGAGACCATCCTAGCCAACATAGTGAAACCATGTCTCTACTAAAAATATAAAAATTAGCTGGGTGTGGTGGCACATGCTTGTAACCCTAGCTACTCAGGAGGCTGAGGCATGAGAATCACTTGACCCAAGAGGCAAAGGTTGCAGTGAGCCAAAATTGCACTACTGCACTCCATCCTGAAGACAGAGGGAGATTCTGTCTCAAAAAAAAAAAAAAAAAAAAAAGGCAAAATGACAATATTGACAATAAACTCACTCAATGGAAGAGGTCAAACAAAATAGAAACACACAACTGGCAAAAATAGAAAATTTCTCCTTCCATCACATTAATAATTGATTCAGGCAAGAACTACCAATGAATGAAAATTTGTTGGGGAACAGATATTAAGAGTCTCTCTCTACAAATTACTTACTAAAGAGAAAAACATAGAAAAATTTGTTAGATAACACCTTAACCAAGTAATCAGTGTTTAAATCACCAACAATGAGATAAATTGACACCATATGGCTCCTAGTGTGATGCACTGAGAGGGCACAGTATCACATAGCATTCCTGCTAATGTTTAACCTGAACCTAAGCACGTGGAAACAAACAGACAAATCCAAATGGAGGGGCATTCTACAAAACAGGCCTAAACTCTTCATCAGTTCTTCATCTTTCATGACAATGACAAGGCTGAGAAACTATATTTTGTATTAAAGGATTGAATCTTGGATTTTTGAAAATTTCTATAAACTATGTGATAGGAACAACTGATGAAATATGAATGTAAACTATATGTGAGATAATTCATGAAATTTAATTCAGGAAATTTATATTACTTAATATAATATTTTATTAATATTAAATTTCCTGCATTTGGTAACAGTTATCAAATCAAAAGACAATGTCCTTGTTCTTACAAGATACCTACTGACGCATTTAAGGGTGAAGGTTTATGAGGTCTACAACTTAATTCTCAAATGGTTCCACAAAAATAATGACATCATTAACAAGACTGTTAATAAGAATATATCCATACAAAGAAAAATGTGGCAAAATATTAACTGTGATCTCAATCAAAGGCATATCAGTAGGTGTTCTTATATTAATACTATTCATGTAACTTTCTGCAGGTTTTAAGTTTTTCAAAGTAAAAAGGTGAAAAAGTAATGTCTTTTTGCATTGCATTTGAACCAAAGGATACTCACCTCTTCAATAGCAGCATCTTGTAGCAAAGAACGAATATCTAAACGCATCATGTGACGAGGCGCAGTTTCCCAGTGATCGGCCATCTATTGAAAAATATTGTTTAAATTGTTAAATACTAATTAAATATTATAAAGTCTAACGAGCCAATTTCCTTTTTTTTTTTTTTGAGACAGGATCTCACACTGTCACCCAGGCTGGTGTGCAGTGGCGCAAACATGGCTCACTGCAACCTTGACATTGTGGGCTCAAGTGATCTTCCTACCTCAGCCTCCCCAGTAGCTGGGACCACAGGCACTTGCCACAAGACCCAGCTAATTTTTGTGTTTTTTTTTTTTTGTAGAGACAGGGTTTCACTATGTAGCCCAGGCTGATCTCAAACTCCCAGGCTCAAGTGATCTGCCCACCTCAGCCTCCCAAAGCACTGGGATTACAGGCGTGAGCCACCACGCCCGGCCATAACAGGCTAATTTCAAGAAGAGCTAGGAAAAGAAACAAAGGAAGAGAAACATTTACTAAAGCAGATAGGAAAGATATTATGAAAAAAAGGGGCGGGGGCGGAATAAATAGGAGCTTCCAGACAAAAGTGCTGATACAGATAACATGAAGTTTAGAGTACAGTCACACATCACTTAGCAATGAGCATACATTAGAAGAAATGGATCATTAGGCAATTTGCCATTGTGTGAACATCACAGAGTATACTTACACAAATCTAGATGATAAAGCCTACTGCACATCTAGGCTACAAACTTGTACAGCAAGTTAAAGTACATAATACTGTAGGCAACTGTAACACAATGTTAAGTATTTGTGTATTTAAAGATATCTAAACATAGAAAAGGTACAGTAAAAATACATTATTATAATGTTATGGGACCACCACATATGTAGTCACCTTCCTTGACCAAAACATTATTATGTAACACATGATGGTACTCTATTAGTCCATGTTTCTGAAAATCACCTTATTTATTTCTTTAAGCTTTCTTCCATGAATATTTCTCTTGCCACAAGTCTGGTTATCTGCACTCATTTCAGCCAAATATACCTAAGCAAGAATGAATAATAATTAGAAAAGATATATAACATTTACATGACAACACAAAGTACTTCAAAGTTCTTACCTCAAATCCCTTGGTTTTTGCTGCACTCCAAAACTGGTCAAAATGCCTAACTCTGTCATTGATGGCATCCAGAATTATGAAGGGGAAAAAGCCATCATCCAGAGTCTTTTTGAAAGTTTTGAACATGCTAGTGCGGTAAGTCTCCTCCATCTCAGCTTCATATTCATATTCCATTACCTAAGGTCCCCAAAAAGAGATATACAATTAGCAAAAGCAAAGAATCATCCTAAGCTTTTTCCCTGGTTAGCATTTGGACAGAGATGACTTTGTAGTCTTTCCTTCATACCCAAGTACTAAAGTTTGTGTTCAGAAAACAGAGAAGTCCTTGCCCTCAAAAAAGCCACATTTCTCTCCAAACATGATTTCCTTCAAATACTATTAATGAATCAGAATATGATCTGAGATGAATACCATACCTTCTTTTTTACTTTCTTTCCAGAATCTGGGTCTTTTTCTTCTTTTTCCACTTCAGTGATGAAGTAATCATCCAGGCTTAGAACTCTGGGTGCAGGTCCTCCAAATTCTACCTCCTTATCCTAAGAATCACATAGTCAAGAAGGTTAAAATGAATTTACAGAATAAACTAATGTTCACACCAAAGTTCCCTCTTGTGGCTAAATAATACACAATCTTCTGGTGGTTTCAAATTAAGCAGACTCAAAAATGTTTCTCTGAGTAGATCCAAATGGATATGGGACAACATCTACCACATGGGCCAACTCTAACGAATCAAATGGAAGACAATTCTATTAGTATCATGTTGCTTGCTATTAATTAAGAAGGCAAGTGACTACTAACACAAGCAACTGATTTTTCAGCTTTCCCATACTCACCCGAATAAGTTTTGCAACATGTGTCTTTCCACTGCCAGGTAATCCTCTCATTATAACAACAATCTGAAACAGAATAGACCAAAAAAAAAAAAAAGTCACTCAGAGAAAACTTTCTGCAATGAGATAATAGCTAACAATGACCTACCACTTTCCAGGATAGACTATATAATAGACCTTGAAACAAACCTTAATAAATTTGAAAGGATAGAAATGATACAAAGTATGTTATCTGACCACAGTGGAATAAAATTGGAAATTAAAAGTAAGAAAATTAAACTCACAAATATGTGAAAATTAAACAACATACTCCTAAATAACCAACGAATCAAAGAAGAACCAGAAATCAAGAGGAACCAGGAAATACTCTGAGATGAATGAAAACAACACAACATACCAAAGCTTACAGGATAAAACTAAAGCAGTACTTAAAAGGAAATTGATAACTATAAATGTCTATAGTAGCAAAGAAGATAGATCTCAAATCAAGAACTTAACCTTCCACTTTAAGACACTGGAAAAAGAGCAAACTAAATAAACAGAGGAAGGAAACAATAAAGATTAAAGAAGAAGTTAATAAAATAGAAAACAGAAAAACAAAAGAGTAAAAATAAATAAAACCAAACAGTGGCAGTGGTTCTTTTAAAAAGATCAACAAATTATAATTATAATTATAATTATTATTTTGTGATGAAGTCTCACTCTGTTGCCCAGGCTAGAGTGCAGTGGTGCAATCTTGGCTCATCACAACCTCTGTCTCCCGGGTTTGAGCAATTCTTGTGCCTTAGCCTCCCAGGCAGCTGGGATTACAGGCACCCGCCACCACATCTGGCTAAATTTTGTATTTTTAATAGAGACAGGGTTTCACCACGTGGCCAGGCTGGTCTTGAACTCCTAGCTTCAAGTGATCCACCCACCTCAGCCTCCCAAAGTGCTGGGATGACAGGTGTGAGCCACCACACCCAGCTAAGATCAACAAAATTGATGAACTCTTACCTACACTGAACAGGAAAAAAAGGAGATTCAAATTACTAGAATTAGAAATGAAAGTGGGGCTCAGTGGCATGTGCCTATAGTCCCAGCTCCTTAGGAGGCTGAGGCAAGAGGGTCACTTGATCCCAGGAGTGCAACCCCAGCCTGGGCAACAGTGAGATTCTGCCTCAAGTAAAAATGAAATGAAAGAGGGGCCATTACTACCAACCTTATAGAAATAAAAAAGGATACAAAGGAATACTATGAACAATAATTTAGGTCAAACAGACACATTCCTGGAAAGACACAGACTACTAAAACTTACTCAAGAAGAAATAAACAATCTGAATAGACCTATAACAAGTAAAGAATCTAAGATAGTAATTTTAAAAACACACACAAAAGCCCAAGCCTGGATGACTTCACTGAATTCACCAAATATTTAAATACCAACTCTTCACAAAGTCTTAAAAAAAACAGAATAGGAAGAAATAGTTTCTTTCTTTTTTTTTATTTTTATTTTTCTAGAGAAGGGTCTCACTATATTGCCCAGGCTGGAGTGCAGTGACTATTCACAGGCACAATCCCGCTACTGATCAGCATGAGAGTTTTGACCTGCTCCATTTCCAATCTGGGCCAGTTCACCCCTCCTTAGGCAACCTGGTGGTGCCCCGCTCTCAGGAGGTCACCATACTGATGCTGAACTTAGTGCAGACACCTGATTGGCATAGCGCACTACAGCCCAGAACTCCTGGGCTCAAGTGATCTTCCCACCTCAGTCTCCCGCGTAACTGGGACAAGAAGCACACGCCACTTCCCCCGACAGGTAGGAATAATTTCTAACTTACTTTATAAAGCCAGTATTACACCAAACCAAATATAGCACAAGAAAACACCACTATTTTCTATGAATATGGATGCAAAATATCCTCCAAAATATTAGCAAGCTGAATCCAGCAACATATAAAAATCATTACACACCATGACCAAGTGGAATTTATCCTAGGAATGCAAGTTAACATATGAAATCAATTAATGTAACACATCATACCAACAGACTAAAAACCAAAATCACACAATCATCCCAATTGTCACAGAAAAAGCATTCAACAAATCCAACATCCTCCCATGATAAAAACATTCAACAAACTAGGAATAGAACTTTCTTAACCTAATAAAGTGCATCTACAAAAAATTCACAGCTAACATCATTTTTAATGATGAAAGATTGTATGTTTTCTCTCTAAGATCAGAAACAAGACAAGAATGTCCACTCTTGCCACACCTATTCAACACTGCACTGGGGGTTCTAGCCAGGGCAATTAGGCAAGAAATAAAAGGCATCCAGTTCAGAAAGAAAGAAGTAAAACTATATTTGCAGATGACATAATCTTATACAAAGAAAACCTTAAGAATCCACTAAAAATCTACTAAAACTAATAAATGAATTCAGTGATATTACATAAGATGAATAAACAAAATTAAACCATATTTCCATAGTCTGCGATGAATAATCCAAAAATAAAATTAAGCCAACTATATCAATAATAACTTTACTACCAGGTACTACGTTCATTATTTGGGTGACAGTCTCATTAGAAGCCCTAACTCCAGCATTACATAAAATACCTGTGTAATTAACCTGCACATGTATCCTGAATCCATAATTTAAAAAAATCTCCAGTACCAGTTAATTCAAATGGAGTCAATCTAATTATTCTGTAATATAAGACAAATTTAAGAGAATGCACACATTTGGAGGTCACTAGGAAATTAAGCCTAAGCTAATCAAGTCTCCTAATTCTCCCTTTCTATTCCACATACCACCATAAAACCAAATCCACTTTCCTCTCTTCGACATGCAATTAATTGAGGCCTCATAAATGTTTTAAAATTCAACATCTTTTTTGCCAAGTAGTTTATAGTGCTAAATTCTTAAAGATTCTATAGTGTAGGCCATTTATGAGATTTTTATGGTGATTTAGGTATGGTAAAATGCCTTGAATCTGATATTGTTACTATGTTGCAGAAAAGTAAAGAAATTCTGTTTAGGATATTTAAAAGTTCTCTTCTGGTTTGCATGGAAATGAATCAGCTTCACAGGACTCACTCTCTCAGGTCTGCTCTCCCGGCCTGGTGGTTTCAAAATATCATCCACATTCTTTGATTCAGGCTTCTTCTCTACCCGTGGAGCTGGAGGTGGCTGGTGACTCAGTGAAGGAGCTGGCAGGGGCATTCGCTCTTCAGGATAAGTCCTTCGTTCTCCTAGGATTCCAGCAGTTGAACAAAATTACTATTTGTAAAGTAATTGTTTTTAAATCCAACTCTCCCCACACATCCTAAGGTAATATAATTCAAACCAAGTCTAATGATTTTGGGGCCACTTTTTAATTAGAAAAAAATAAAGGTAATGTAAAATCTACTGAAGTCAAGAAAATGAGATAATTTAAGTATGATTTCAGGCAAATAGACTGTTCTGCAAAACACTGAATTCATCCTTGTTTGTATCAAATGTAAAAAGTTAAGCAACAAAACATGAAAGAATAATAAATGTTTTGCTGGACAGTCCTAAGTTCTGTAACTTCTGCTTTACCATTTTAAGAATAAAAGCTGGCCGGGCGCAGTGGCTCATGCCTATAATTCCAGCACTTCGGGAGGCCGAGGTGGGTGGATCACGAGATCAAGAGATCGAGACCATCCTGATCAACAAGGTGAAACCCCGTCTCTACTAAAAATACAAAAAAATTTAGCTGGACATGGTGGTGCGCGCCTGTAGTCCCAGCTACTCGGGAGGGTGAGGCAGAAGAACTGCTTGAACCCAGGAGGCGGAGGCGGAGGTTGCGGTGAGCCGAGATCGAGCCATTGCACTCCAGTCTGGGTAACAAGAGTGAAACTCCGTCTCAAAAAAAAAAAAAAGAATAAAAGTTATACCATCTTAGGAGAGTGTATTCCTATAAATAGGTATGAGATTCTAGTTTAAGTGTAAATCATAACAGTGAAAAACTAAAAGCAACCCCTAAATTACCTAATAATAAGGTCTCGATCATATATTTTATCCACTCAATAGAATGTCAAAGAGCCACTAAACTTTCACAATTTTTCAAAATTTCATATGAAAAATGTGTATAGTATAATATTAATCAGAACAATCATGATAAAGAAATTGTTATTACTTCATATTTATACTTTGATTACAACTTCAGAAATATGTCTGTAAAAAGAGAATGAGAGGAAATCTACAAAATTATAATAGCTATAGTATGGTGGGTAGTGAGACTATCAGTAATTTTGTTTCTACTTTGTTTCAAAAGTAAACGTTTTATTTCATTAATTACATTGCTATTTTTTATGATATAAGAAATCTGTGAATACATTTTACTCTAAAAGTTTAAATCCATAGCTACAATGGGAAGCATCTCCCATACTTTACATTCTTAATATCCTTGCAGTTAATAAGGCATCACTCTACCTCCAAACATGGATGGTCCTTCATAGACTGGTCGGTCAGACTTCCGGTCATAGGATGGCCTATCAAAACCCCCTCTTCTGGATGAGGAATGGTCTTTTTTGTCTCGATATGACTGAGCTCTAGAAGATATAATAGAAAGTCCTTCAGCAAATAAAAAATATTCAGAGGTCTCTGCTTTATAGTGCAACAGCATTCTCTGCCCAATTTTCTCTATGGGCAGATACTCCACACCATATTTACTTTTTTTTTTTTTTTAGATGGGGGTCTCACTTTGTCAACCAGGCTAGAGTGCAGTGGCCTGGTCTTGGCTCACTGAAGCCTTGATCTCCAGAGTTCAAGTGATCCTCCCATCTTAGCCTCCTGAGTAGTTGGGACTACAGGCACATACAACTTTGCCTGGCCAACTTTTGTTATTGTTTTGTAGAGACGGGGTTTTGCCATGTGGGCCAGGCTTGTCTCAAACTCCTGAGCTCAGGATATCTGCCTGCCTTGACCTCCCAAAGTGCTAGGATTACAGGCATGAGCCACTGCACCAGGCCAATATTTACATTTTGACTTTGCTTTTTCATTTAGATCTACTTTATATACGTATCTAAAAAGTTCATGTGAAAACTGGTCATGGTGCCTCACTCCTGTAATCCCAGCACTTCGGAAGGCCGAGGCAGGTAGATCACTTGAGCTCAAGAGTTTGAGACCAGTCTGGGCAACATGGTAAAATTACATCTTCACCAAAAATACAAAAAAAAAAAAAAAACTAGCCAGGCATTGTGGCACATGCTTATGGCCCCAGCTACTCAGGAGACTGAGGTGGGAGGACAACTTAAGCCCAGGAGGTGGAGGCTGCAGTGAGCTGAGACTGTGCCACTGCATTCCAGCCTGGATGACAGACTGAGATCCCATCTCAATAAAATATAGCAATTAATAAATAAATATTTAAAAGTTCGTGGGCTTTCTCCCTTCCCCTTCTCCTTGCCTGGCTGCCAGAATGCCCGTAAGTATAATCATAATAAATAAAAAGCTAATGGATTGCAAAAATAAACTGTTTGCCTACTGAGTAATGACTGCACCTTTATTGATAATACCATTTCCATTCCTTTCTGGCTATCTCCATCGCCCATTTAATGCTCTGGAATTCAAGCTACCAAGTCAAAGACCTACTTTCCTGAAAACTGGTCCAGAATTATTCTTCCCCCTCCAAATTACAAATAGACATGCGTAAGAAAAATATGTTACTTACTAAATTTCTCGTAAACTTTTACTGAACTTAAGTATATAATAATTTGTACACCTAGCAAAGACTGTTTTATAGCATACCTATCATCTCGGGGTCGGCGTTCTCTGTCAAATCGATCCCGGTCATAGTCAATAACACCACGATCCCGGTCTCGATCTCTATGTGTCTCACGATCTCTTTTAAAATCTCGATGATCTGCTATGACATTACTTTGGCGATCAAAATAAGGCTCACGGTCTCTTTCTCTATCATAACGATCACGTTGGCCGGCATGCTCTACAAAAACAGTTAGTACAAAATTATTATATCCCTTTTATAGAAATAAAAGCAGAAAAGTATAAATCTAACCTCAGAGCTGGTATAAATTTCTGCCCTAAATTCGACGTAAGAATCTTTCAGCTGACTAAAAGGAAAATCATGTGATAATTAGGCCCTAAAATGTTTAAAAATACTGACCTCTCTGGGAATCCTACCTGTCTCAAAAGTTGATCTTTCAGGTAGTGGATCTGGGCGTAGAGTTATTCTTTCTCCATAAGGTATCTGTTCAACTTTATTAGTGGATATATCTGGTAAACAAAATCAGAGAAAAAGCCCTCTAAGAGTGAAGCTTGAGAAAGCTAAAGCTGAAGCTAACAATTCCTGTAGGATCCCAAATACAAGTTCACCACCATTACTCACCTCGGCCATGGCCATAATCAACAGTCTGTTGCACTGGCGGTGGCTTGGACATTGGTGGCATACCCATAGGCACTGCGCCAGGAGGGGGAATGGAAGAGTGAACAGGTGGGGGTGGTAATACTGGAGCAGATGGAATTGCTGCAGTTTCTGACTTAAATTCTGAGTTCAGTCCTTGTTCATCATTTGTATCCCAGAGCCCATAGAAAGAATCTTCATCCCATCGTTCCTGTTCTACAGCTGAAGTTTGTGGCTTTATCACTGGAGGAGGAGGAGGAGGTAGAGGTGGAGGAGGTGGAGGTGGTGGTATTGGGACAGGTGGCCTGGTTACAGGAACAGATGATCTTGCTGGTGGAACAGAAGGTCTTACAATTGAACCTGGTGGTTTACCCATAGGAGGGGGTGGTCTATAGGACCCTGGAGGCTAGAGAACAGAGTCAAGAGCTTAGCGGACAAGCATACCACTATGTTTTTACAGATCAGTGGAAATTAAAATCTGGTTCTCAATTTATAGGAAAAAAGTTAACACCTTGGACTCATTCAAAATTTCGTGCTTTAAAACATACCATCAAAATGAGGACAAGCCACAGAAAGGGAGAAAATATACACAAATCTTATATTTGATAAAGAACTTGAATTCAGAATATACAAAACACTTAAATTCAATAAGGCAAATCGTAAAAAAAATATGGCCAAAGCTGAGAATAGATATTTTTCCAAAGAAAAAATATGAATGCCCAATAAGCACATGAAAAGATACTCAACGTCATTAGTCATTAGGGAAATACAAATTAACATCCCAATGAGATATCATTTTCATACTCACTGGAATGGCTATAATTAATAAGACAGACAAAAACAAATGATGGCAAGAATATAGAAAAGAAAAACTCTTTTAGATTGTTAGTAGGAATAAATGGTGACACTATAGAAAATGGTTTGCTGAGCTGGGCATGGTGGCATGCTCCTGCAGTCCCAGCTACTTGGGAGGCTGAGGCAGGAGAATCACTTGAACCCAGGAGGTGGAGGTTGTAGTGAGCCGAGAATGAGCCACTGCACTCCAGCCTGGGTGACAGAAACAGACTCTGTCTCAAAGGGAAAAAAAAGAAAAGAAAATGGTTTGCCAATTTCTCTCAAAAAGTCAAATACACTTTTTTTTGAGATGGAATCTTGCTCTTGTTGCCCAAGCTGGAGTACAATGGTACAATCTCAGCTCACTGCAACCTCCGCCTCCTGGGTTCAAGCACTTCTCTTGCTTCAGCCTCCTGAGTAGCTAGGATTAGGTACCCACCACCACTACCAGCTAATTTTTTATATTTTTAATAGAGTCAGGGTTTCCCTTGGCCAAACTGGTCTCGAACTCCTGACCTCAGGTGATCCACCTACTTCAGCCTCCCAAAGTGCTAGGATTACAGGCTTGAGCCAAAACTCCCAGCCAAACATAAATTTATCATATGACTTAGCAATTTCATTTCTAGGTATCTATCCAAGAAAAGCAAAAACATATGTCTATCCAAAGACTTGCACACAAATATTCATAGCCATACTATTCAACAACTCTCATGTCCATCAACTGGTGAATGGTTAAACAAAATGTGGTATATTTATATAAAAAGTTAGAAAATTTAAAAGCAGTAAAAATAAATGAAGTACTGAGTCATGTTATAACATGGATAAACTTGAAAAGATTATGCTAAGTGAAAGAAGACGGACACAAAAGACTACATATTATATAATTCACTTATACAAAATGCCCAGAAAGGCAAATCTATATAGACAGAAAGTGGATCAGTGGTTGCCTGGGACTAGGGTAGGAATGAGGATTAACTAACTATAAACTAGTGCAGTGATCTTACAGGGGTGATGAAAATGTTTTAAAATCTCCATACTCCAAATTAGGACTTCAGATTCAAATGTCCCTGACCAACACCAAATCTACTGAACTTCTGTAGGTGGGGCTTACCAGTAATTTAAAATTTAAAAAAAAAAAAAATACCCTCCATGAATAATTCTGATTTTCACCCCTTGATTAAGAACTATCTTCCCACTCTCTCAGTGTGCAGGAAGGAGAAAAATGAATAAATAAGAACTATCTTCCTACTCTAGAAACCTATCTCCTCCATAAAAACGGTAAATTTCCAGTGACAGAAATCCTAGAGAGCCTCCATACTTCTGTTCCTTTCAGTTATCTGGTTGACAATAATAGTCCAGGGAAAGCTAGGACCAACACAGAACTTGAGTAATACGAAACAAAATAAACTAAATGAACATCTAGTAATCTCTTTAAGAAGTGCCACTGTTGGGTACCCTGATTACATTTGTTTTCCCAAAGCATCCCCAGGTGCCATCAGAAATGTCTATTAAGGAGATGGTAGCACTTCTTAGCAGATAGGTCCTATCTACCCAATACTGAAACCCAGCTGCCACATACATTTTATTTTTATTCTTTCTTTGGTGAAGACAGGGTCTTGCTATGTTGCCCAGGCTGGTCTTGAACTCCAGGCCTCAAGCAATCTTCTCGCCTCAGCCTCCCAAAGTGCTGGGATTACAGGTGTGAGCCACTATGCCTAGTCTCTATTTTAATCTTCATAAGCGTGATTCAAACACTTATTTCCCATTTCTTAGTTCACTGTGTCTGGTTGGTTTGGTTTCTTCTTTTGTTTTTTGTTTTGGTTTGGTTTTTTACTTCTTTGTTTTTCCAGGATTTTTTTTCTTTATTTACACCTATTTTAGACCCTGGAGAGCCCACAATATGCATTATTTATATATTTGCCCATACATAGGCAGTATTTTAAAAACAAACTTTGTGACTAATAAAATGCAGTTGACTAATATGGAAGGAACATAATTTGACTGGAGGTCACTACTGGCTATAGTTAAAGACAAATGGCTATTACCTAAAGATAAAGTTTTAATTAAAGTATGGTATGATAAACTTTGTTAAGAAAATGCCAATATAGGATGAGGCTATTCTGTCTGTCTAGACATATCCATCGAGACAAGTTTTAAATATCTTAAGATCTCTTAGAAATACACTTATAAATAAAACAAAAAGTGCTTTCTTCATTCTATACAGTGAGAGGAAGATAAATTTTTTAAATTATTTATATGTGAAAGGGTTAATATCTGTATTTAGGATAATGAGTTAAAAAAAAACTCAAACAGATAAATGGGTGAAGGACACAATTTCTGTAAGAAGAAAGTATAGTTAACAAATATGAGAAAATATTCATGTCACTAGTAATAAAAAATGCTGTATTAAAATTACTAAATATACAAAATATTATGTAACTAACGCTTACAAGGCTATATATAGATGTAACACAACTATTTTCTTTCTTTTTATTTATTTATTTTTGAGACACAGTCTCGCTTCGCTGCCCAGGCTGAAGTGAAGTAGCACAATCTATAACCTCTGCCTCCCAGGTTCAAACAATTCTCCTGCTTCAGACTCCCTAGCAGCTGGGATTACAGATGCACACCACTATGCCCAGCTAATTTTTATATTTCTAGTAGAGATGGGGTTTCACCATGTTGGCCAGGCTGGTCTCAAACTCCTGACATCTCAGGTGATCCACCTGAGATGAAGTCTTGATCTGTCATCCAGGCTGGAGTACAGTGGCACAATCTTGGCTCACTGCAACCTCCACCTCCCAGGTTTAAGCATCTCCTGCCTCAGCCTCTGCAGTAACTAGGATTACAGGCGCATGCCACCAAGCCCAGCTAATATTTGTATTTTTATAGACACCTGGTTTCACCATATTAGCTAGGCTGGTCTCGAACTCCTGACCTCATGTGATCTGCCTGCCTCGGCCTCCCAAAGTGCTAGGATTGCAAGCGTGAGCCACTGTGCCCAGCCATTATACAACTATTATAGAGAGCTGTTTGGCTATGTCACAGGAATCATTTTGTAAAAGTATGCTTATTCTGGGCCAGGTGTGGTGGCTCATGCCTGTAACCTTAGCACTTTGGGAGGCTGAGGCAGGGTGGATCACCTGAGGTCAGGAGTTCGAGACCAGCCTGGCCAACATGGTGAAACCACGTCTCTACCACAAATACAAAAAAATTAGCCAAGCGTGGTGGCAGGCACCTGTAATCCCAGCTACTTGGCAGGCTGAGGCAGGAGAATTGCTTGAATCAGGGAGGTAGAGATTGCAGTGAGCTGAGATTGCACTACGGCACTCCAGCCTGGGCAAAAGACTATACTTAGTCTCAAAAAAATTTTAAAGAGTATGCTTATTCTTTGAAGTAGTCCACTTTGGGACTTTAAAATCACTGCTGGCTGGGTGCAGGCACTCTCAATACTTTGGGAGGCCAAGGCACAAGGATCACTTAAGCCCAGGAGTTCGAGACCAGCCTGGGCAACAATTCAAGACCCCGTCCCTACCAACAAAATTTTTTTAATTAGCCAGGTGTGGTGGTGTGTGCCTGTAGTCCCAGTTACTCAGGAGGTTGAGGTGGGAGAATCACTTGAGCCCAGGAGTTTGAGGCTGCAGTGAGCTATGATTGCACCACTGTAATTCAGCCTCCAAGGCAACAGAGCAAAACAAAAAAGACAAAACAAAAACAACATAAAACTTAAAAAAAAAAAAAAAAACACAATTTACTCATAAGAAGTTATCAGCTGAATGCAGTGGCTCAAACCTGAAATCCCAGCATTTTGGGAATCTGAGCCAGGTGGATCACCTGAAGTCAGGAGCTCAAGACCAGCCTGTCCAATGTGGTAAAGCCTCGTCTCTACGAAAAATACAAAAAATTTAGCCAGGTGTGGTGGGTGGCAGATATCTGTAATCCCAGCCACTTGGGAGGCTGAAGTAGGAGAATGGCTTCAACCTGGGAGGTGGAGGTTTCAGTGGCTGGAAATTGTGCCATTGTACTCCAGCCTGGGCAACAGAGTGAGACTCCGTCTCAAAAAAAAAAAAAGAAAAAAAAGAGTTACCTAAAATAAGAATCCACTAGAAAGACACTCATTAGAGTAATATTAAGAATCACAGTGAAAGATTATAAATCAATTTCAACAGAAATGGAATTAATTCAATAAATTATGAATCAAAAAATAATATAGCATAACAATATGGAAAGATGATTATGAATTGTTAAGCAAATAAAGCAGAAATGTGGATCCATAATCAGGAGCTTCTATTATTTACTAAGACAAGCAAAGACAAAAGATACAATTCTTGGACAGGCGCAGTGACTTATGCCTGTAATCCCAGCACTTTGGGAGGCCCAGGTGGGTGGATCATGAGGTCAGGAGTTCAAGACCAGCCTGGCCAAGATGGTGAAACCTCATCTCTACTAAAAATACAATAATTAGGCAGGCATGGTGGTGGGCACCTGTAATCCCAGCTACTTAGGAGGCTGAGGCAGGGAACTGCTTGAATCTGGGAAGTGGAGGCTGCAGTGAGACGAGATGGCGCCACTGTACTCCAGCCTGGGCGATAGAGACTCCATCTCAAAAAACTCCATCTTTTTTTTGAGACAGAGTTTCACTCTTGTTTCCCAGGCTGGAGTGCAATGGTGCAATCTTGGCTCAAGGCAATCTCTGCCTTCCAGATTCAAGCGATTCTCCTGCCTCATCCTCCCTAGTAGCTGGGATTACAGGCATGTGCCACCACGATAGGCTAATATTGTATGTTTAGTAGCGATGGGGTTTCTCCATGTTGGTCAAGCTGGTCTCCAACTCCTGACCTCAGGTGATCTGCCTGCCTCAGCTTTCCACTGTGCTAGGAATACAGGCGTGAGCCACCATGTCCGGCCTATCGTTCTTATCTTATGGACTCAATTTAGAAGAAAAGACAAGAAAACAGACAATCAAAATTCAACATGATAAAGATGACAACAGAGACCAGTGTAAGATGTTTACAGGGTATGTATGAGGGTAACTGCCTTACATAGGTAGATGAGAAGATAGTAGAGCTGCGTTCTAAAAGATAAGCATTAGCCAATTGCAGGAGGGGATGCAATGGCAAAGAAAAGAGACTATTGGCTTAGAGAATAACAGGCATACACAAAGGAATGAAGAAGTAAAAGAATCTAGCAAATTCACAGAATTGTTAAGTAGCTCCATGTGGAGGGAAAATGAAGCATCAGAGGGTGGAGTAGCAAGCAATGGTCAGCAGAGGTCAGGCCAGCTCAGGAAGAACTTGAAAAGCCATGCAAAAGATTCTAGATTTCATCCTGAAGGCATGGGAGAACACTGAAGAGTTTTAAAGCCAGGTAGCCACATGGTGAGATTAATTTTAAAATGTCCACTGACCACAAATCGCATCAATGCTGTCTGAAGTGGAGTGTAGGGGTAGTCCCAACTACAAAAAGGCATGAGAACTTTTAAGGGTGATGAGAATGTATCTTTTGATATACATCTGTCAAAACTTGAAATACAGGCTTAAAAAGCATGCAATTATACTTCAGAATTTTATTCAAAAGAGATGGCAGCATATAGCAGGGGCAAGATGGAGGGCTGATTTTCAGATTTCAAGTTAGGGTGATAGGTGATGGTGAGGAGAACGAATATTTAATGGGGTATGATAATGAGCCCCAATTTCAACATGCTGCATTTGACAGGAGCCACATCCACAGACAGAAACTCTGCAGACAGACAAATGCATACAAAGGTCAGGAGATCCGATCTGGAGAGTCAACAACACCATGCTGGGTCACTGATGTCAACAATTATTTCTTAGTGTTTAAGTATTAGACTTAATACTTAAGGAATGGAAGGGAATGCTGAGAAATGAAGAAAGTTAATTTGAGGAAATGGTTCAGTAGAACTTTTTTCTTCATTATGCTGTCATAAAACCATTTGAATGATAACATTTAAAACACCTGAAAAGCCCATTATTGCCTTAAATGTAAAGTAACAGAACAAAAACAAAAGGAGTCCTGGCATGCTATTGGAAAAAAAAGGCGAACTTACTTAAGTCTTTAACATAAACACCCCTTTTCAGACTGCCTGAACGGTTCTGAAGTATGTACTAGGGTATGACATTTCCTTATCTGAAGGATTAGTAGCCTAAAAAGGTAGGAAGCACCATGAGGCCCATGTCTAGCCCTGCCTAGATGGAAAACAGGACTTTTTTTTTTTTTTGGTAGAGATGTGGGTCTCACTGTCTTGTGCAGGCTGGTGTCAAACTTCTGGGCTCAAGTAATCCTCTTGCCTTAGCCTCCCAAAGTGCTGGAATGACAGGCATGAGCCACTGTGGCCAGTCAACAGGACTATTTTAACTTAAAAAATTATTAGAAAAATTCCACCATTTTGTGGACAGAGACTATGTAGTTCAGGAGTAGTTGGTGTACTTATCCAAACCCTGGGAAAAAGGAGCATCTCTGCCACACTTTTGAACTGCTTTTAAGATGTTCAAAGGTCAATCACCATAAACTTTTACTTGACCAAAAATCTAAATTTTAGAGAGGAAATCTGTAGTTAATTTTTAAAAAATTAAACAACATAAAAACATACAAATTAGAAACCATTTCATTTTCTGAGCACACATTCTCCCATACCGGATACATTCCAGGTCTTGAAGATGTATTCTGCAGTCTTGATTCCTGAGGTGGTAGATGGTCAGCCATCTGTGGCTCAGACCCAAAGTCTTTCATCTTCTGAAGCTGTTCTTTCTGTTCCCTGCAAACAAATAAAATTGCCATGGTACATAAAGCATGTTTATGCCATTCCTAAGTGGCTACACCTAATACTGAATTAAAAAGAAGAGATCTAAAAACCTTGCCCTAAAATTCTCTGTAGTGGCCATACAATGGGCACCTCTGAGATTACCCTCTTTTGCTTTTATGTAGCTAACTCATCAGTCGTCTAAGACATAAAAGTAATTATATATTATTAAAGATATTCAAGGATAGATTATACAACCTGTCTCAGCAGTTTTCTACTATCTCATCCAGCTGTTATGCTTTTCTTTAATCCAACCAAAAGCTCCTTCGCTATTTCTTTAAACTTTTTTTTTGGAGACAGAGTCTCGGCTCTGTCGCCCAGGCTGGAGTACAAGTGGTACAATGTCAGGTTACTGTAAGCTCTGGTTCCTGGGTTCAAGTGATTCTCCTGCCTCAGCCTCCTGAGTAACTGGAACAACAGGCGCAGGCTACCGCACCTGGCTAATTTTTTATATTTCTTTAGTAGAGGCAGGGTTTCACCATATCGGCCAGGCTGGTCTTGAACTCCTGACCTTATGATCTGCCCGCCTCGGCCTCCCAAAGTGCTGGGATTACAAGGCGTGAGTCACCGCACCCAGACTACTTTTTTCAACTTTTTACACCAGAGGTTGCAAAATGGTGGCCCATGCACCAAATATGGCCTAAAAAGGTTTTTTTAAAAAATGTGGCTTTTGGCTGGGTGCAGTGGCTCATGCCTGTAATCCCAAAACTTTGGGAGGCTGAGGCAGGTGGATCACAAGGTCAAGAGATCAAGCCCATCCTGGCCAAGATGGTGAAACCCTGTCTCTACAAAAATACAAATATTAGCTGGGCATGGTGGCATGTGCTTGTGATCCCAGTTACTCAGGAGGCTGAGGCAGGAGAATCACTTGAACTCAGGAGGCAGAGGTTGCAGTGAGCAGAGATCCTGCCACTGCACTCCAGCCTGGCAAACAGAGCGAGACTCCAACTCAAAAAAAAAATGTGGCTTTCAAAAAAAAAAAAAAAAAAAAAAAATGTGGCTTTCACATCAGTTTTTAAAATTTGAATTAGCTATTTACAAAGCAAAATATTTCACATATAAATTCAAACCTTAAAGAGATTTGGTAACACCAGTCCTACATTCCCACATGCCAACAATCAGCCGAGTGCAGCAAGGCTGCCCATGTTAGATGAAACAACCTGTCACAATCTTCACCATACTCTAGAAAGTTTGGCCCACTTTCACTCATTTTTGTTATCTGATTGTTGGGGACATTTTAATTTATGGCCCCTGCTGTAGATGGTGAAAACAATTGTCAGTCTATATCTTTAAAAACAACACTTCATCTTCCTGAAGATAATTATGTAGTCCTTCAGTTTTTCTTTAAATTTCTGATTAAATTCCTTTTACTTTTCTTCATAATGTCCACCTTAAACATGGGTAAAATCCACTACAACTTCTTAAGACCTCTTACAATTTTCTCTTCACAGTAAAGTAAGTGACCCAAATGAACCCAAAAGGTCAAGTATGTAAGACTATTTTCTGCTCAGGTAAATCACATCCCTTATGATACTCCTTATAACTTTACACTGACATAACATAACCTACTTGTCTTCAATTATAACCACATTATCTATCACTCCATATATATTATTTAATTATGTTCATGTTGCCCAGAAAGCTTTAAAAAAGGATGAAACAGCAGCAGCACCTTTTACCCAGCATTGCCATGCAAAGCAATAATGAATTAAAAAGAAATTTCGAAAGGAAAAAGAAAGAAACCTTGGCAGCTTAACAACACCAATCAGCTTGGTATTCTCCATAAACAACACAGATTTTAGAGTTGGACAGATTGAGTTTAAACGCTGGGTCTGACACTTACTAGCCAAGAGAACTTAACCTCTCTGAGCCTTAGTGTCACTTGTGAAGTGGGGATAATACTATCTTATCTTTGCAGGCCTTTGAGATAGAAGAATTCGAGATAGACAGACTAGCATAATATACACTCAATTATTAGCAAGTGCCCAGTTACATGGTAGGTGTTAAATTAAAGGTGTCCACAACTTAAAAGTGAATAGTGTGGTAGCTATACACTCTATAGCATGCTTTCTACATTTTCCTCATGAGTAACCTGGAAAAAATAAACCTTTTAGCTATAGACCACAGAAACCTGCCGTATCTGATCTTTCATCATTACTGTTTCTTCACCACATTTTTCTTTCCTAGTTCTAAAGTTTAAGTTATAATTTATTGGTAAGATCCACAAATATAAACCAGAATTGAAAAATGGAAGAAATATATTGGAATCTATCAAAACCTAATCATTAATTGATTTTTCTAAAAAAATTTGCTTTAAAAAAGCTTGCAATCTGTCACTGACTTCTAAATTCCTATCCCAAGATATAGCTGGTTTAAAGATTAAATGAGTTATAATACACAACACACTTAGGACAGTTCCTGGCCCAGAGTAAGCATGCAATAAATGTTAGCTTTTGTTATTATTGTTACTGTAACAGGAAAATTACGTAGATACCGATACACAGTAGATTGTAAGTCAAAATATCCTATTTTCCATTTCACAAAGAAAATATTTGGCTACATAGAAACAAGTACCATCATCAAGGAGAAATATCTGCTTTTAGTTATAATGAAAGACAAAACATCCCAAAAAAGAAAGTATCAGTAGTTAGACAAATCTGAGGATGCTTCTAAGCAAACCATTCTTAGCTTCAACAAAGAAAAATACAAAAAAATACAGCACTTCCCAAAGTTTTTTCAATGATCAGTGAATATAAAGTCTATCAGATCTAATACCAAAGAACAAATTGCTTACTGGAAAAAATGAAGGTTACACATGAGCCCTGTGAAATCCAGAGCACTGAAAAGTTGAAGTTTGACACCTACAACATGCGGCATGGCATGCCAGCAACACATCTACAAAAGCCAAGACAGCAATTAATTTTCACATTTTAGGGCATATGTTTATAATTAACACAGTTCTTAAATACTCATCCTAACCCTAAAAACAGCACTGAATGACCAGAAATATAAATTAAAAGTATGTGTTAAGAAGTTGAAGTAAAATGATTACATTCAAATATATCATATCATTTAAAAAGAGCAGTCTGAATGTGGTTTTTACTAAAAGAAATGATCTGAAGGAGTCAACTTACCGAAGCATTTTCAGTTCTTGTGCAGCTTTCAAAATGATTTCGTGCTGCCTCTGACTGAGAACCATTACCCCTCCAAGGCCTTGGTCAGAGTCTAAGCTTGCATCGGACCCCATCATTTCTGAGGAATGATGTGAGGAGGGCATATGTTCCGCCATGGGGGAATGTCTATCCACATCAGATGGGTACCATCTGTCTGACAACCGTTCTCTTTCCCAGTCCATTCTGTCAGGAACATAATCTCGCTTTTCCCGCCATGTATCTCCTCTTTCTGGATACTCTCGAATCCTCAACTCACCCCTATCACGGAAATCTCGATCATACCCATGGTCTCGATTTCTTTCTTCTCTCCATCTATCATCCCGATATCTATCCAAAGGTGGAAGAGGTGGGAGGGGCGGTAAAGGTGGAAGAGATGGAATATCCCGTTCACGAAACTGTGATTCTTGTTCATCCAGTGGTCTCCCATAATCTCTGTCCCACTCATTATCCAAATTTCTATCATACATATCCATGGGTCTTCCAATCCGATCCACATCCCTGTCCATGTCCCTGTCCATTTCCCTATTGTAGTCCTCATCCATATCCTGGTCTCTCTCCCAATCATCCCACCAAGGGCCTCGCCTGTCTCCATCATGAGATCGAGATGGTGGTGCTGAGAACCTGTCCTCTCTGTTATAGAGCTCTAGTGTATCATCTTGATAGTCATGTTCACATTCTCTCCAGTATCTCTCTCTATCCCAGTCATCAAGTCTTTCTCGTTCCATTGGAGCATTTCTACCATCTAATGGGAACTCTTCATGCCCTCGTTCTTCTCCATGATTCCATGGAGCTCTAGGAGGCTCATCTCGGTGATATGGATACATTTTTTCCCCACCATCTCCTGGGTCTGGTCTGAATGGACCTCTATCACGACCAAAATCTGATCTTCCCAGTCCCCTTTCTCGACTGCCAGGACCTCGAGGTGGTCCTCTCTCCCTGCTCCCAGCTCTTCGGGGTGGTACACTCTCTCTACTCCCGGCCCTTCGAAGAGGTCCTCTCTCCTGACTACCAGCCCTCCGAGGTGGTCCCCTTTCTCGGCTGCCAGCTCCACCCCTGTCCTGGCTGCCTTGCAGACCACCTGGCACTTTCTCCCGACTGCTTCCAGGCCTCACCAGCCCTCTGTCCCGGCTGCCTTCTCCTCTGTTCATCTTCTCTCGACTGTCTTCTCTCCTACCCATCATTTTATCCCGAAAGTCTTCTTGCTTGACCAATCCTGGGCCTCGACTGATTGCCTGGCCACGACCTCTGTTTACTAGTCCTTTATCCCGTGTGTCTTCCATTCTGCTTTGCCCAGGACCTCTGTAAGATGAGCTGCTGCCTCTATTGCCTTCTAATCTATTATCTCTATTATCTGGCCGAGGCAGGCCTTTATCTTGGTTGTTTTCTGAATGGGGTAGACCAATACCCATAGGTTTAAAATCATTATCTGCTGTTAATGATGATGATGTTGCTACTGCTGCTCCTCCCTCCATCCCCCCTGTTTTTGAAGGAAAAGTAGATTGAGCAGGTACAGGCTTATTTGCAAGGGGTACAGGCTGAGTAACAGCTTGGGCTTTGTCGATTTGAGTCTCCATACTTTGAGCATTCTGGTCCCAATTAGAAGGCTCTATGGGCCCTTCCGAGACTTCGCTTTTAGGTGGCTCTTGTTGAGAGTCGCTTAGATTCTCATTTGACTGAGCCGCCTTGGCATCCTTTACATCTGCAGCAATGGAAAATGCAGCTGATTGCATTTTAAAATTCTTCTGCTGGTTACTACTGGTGTCTGCTAATGGTTCTTTGTTTCCTGAAAGAGGTTCTGCTTGTGACTTAGGTTGCTGCTGATGCTGCTGTCCAAAAGCTGGTTTGGGGCCTTTCCACTGTGGTCCACTCTGTCGAGGACTTAGGGATGTACTGGGGGTAATATAAAATTGAGATGCTGGCCCCCGGGGAATCATTCCCCATTTGCTTTTAGTGCCCTCTGCTGGGTGACCTTCATATCTGGGTCTTGGCCCATCCGGGCGATTTCCTTCAAAACGAGGCCCTTTGGGTCTCGGTCCTTCACACCTTGACCCTAAATCCTCAAATCTTCGAGGACCATCAAATCTACAAGTAAAACAAAAGATATTACTCAAGACAGTAAAGCAGAAAAAAAAAAATTCTCCATGTAAGAATATTTAAGGCACTCTTGCCTTAGAATTTGTTTACAACAATGACTCTTTTCAGTCATTAAATAAATCCTGAGTCACCAATATCTTAGAACCAGTATGTTAAGGTAGCAGTGCTCAGAAGGTCTTATGACAAGCTTTGGAAATCATGTCAGTATTACCTAATTCACTTCAACACATCTCCTGCAGCAAGTCACTATTATACTGAATTGTTAAAAAGCAATTATAAGCCGAGCGCAGTGGCTCACACCTGTAACCCCAGCACTTTGGGAGGAGAAACAGGTGGATCACTTGAGGTCAGGAGTGCAAGACCAGCCTGGCCAACATGGTGAAATCCTGTCTCTACTGAAAAAAATACAAAAATTAGCTGGCGATGGAGGCAGGTGCCTGTAATCCCAGCTACTTGAGAGGCTGAGGCAGGAGAATCACTTGAACCCAGGAAGTAGAGGTTGCAGTGAGCTGAGATCACACTATTGCACTCCAGCCTGGGTGACAAGAGTGAGCCTCTGTCATTTAAAAAAAAAAAAAAAAAAAAAAAAATTATAAATACTGTGCCTTAGGAGACAGAAAAGGCCACTCATTTTAAAGACCAAAAAAAAAAAAAAAAAAATTAACAAATTCCATAACTAACTCTGAGCACTTCTGGAATTAAATTGTAACTAAAAACTAAATATGAAAAGACTAAAAAGAAAATATAGGATGATTATATTTTTAGAGCTAGCACTAACATTTCAATTGACAAAAGTTAAAAAAACAAAAACAAAAACAAAAACAAAAAAAACCCAGCAGCCCTACCTTAAGAGTAGGCTCTGACATTTTAAAAAGTCTGCAGTTATTTTTGCTATGAACCCACCTGCTCATCCAGTAAAGAGATAGTATACATCCCCTATCTGTCAAGCATTACATTACATCCAAGAGATACAAGAATAAAATGTTATCTGTGCCCTCAAAGAGTTTACAACCAAATACAAGGGCACCTCTACCTAAGGAAGCAAGATGAGGAAAGGCAGAGAAATGCCTTTCCTCAGCAGAGCATGTGTAGATGTGCAAATAATTTAGCATGGCTAATGCAAAGGAGAAACAGTCAAGAGAGCCGATTAAAAGGGAAGTGTGGAAAAGCAGCACACTAAAAAATAAGGTAAAGAAGTAAGCAAGGATTACTCTCCAAAAGACTGTGTATGCCTCATGTGGTAGAGACTACTGGTGGTCTTCCAATACCCATTTCCCCACTTATCTACAATAACAGGCCTCCCAATTTTTTAGCTAGACACAAATCTCCCCAGACAAGAGACTCTCTTTATCTCTTGCAGCTAGAACTGGCAGTCAAGTTCTTGCCAAGGAGCTTAGAGTAAAAATGATTTGCACATCCTCTGGATTGTCCCCTTAAAGGAAAGGGCACATCCTCCTCTTTACCATTTTCTTTTTCATGCTGGTTCTCACATGGTGGTAAAACATCCTGGACCAGGTAAATGAGAAGGAACTGGATTCCTGAGCCATAATCTAAGTCCTAAGAGAGAATAAACTTCTAACTTGTTAAAGCCATCTGACTTGGATCTCGATTATAATAGATAAATTAATTCAGATGGTTAAGGAGTTTGGCATTATCTTGTAAGCATTTAGAGCCACTAAATATAGTCTGATTTTTAAAAGATTGCTTTAGCAGAAAAATAGTAGACAAAGACAAAAAGTTTAAAGATTATTTCTACAAGTTGGATAAGTGAAGGTGATACCTGGTCTAAGGCAGTGACTGATACGAGAATGCAGAGGAGGGGATAAAAGAGAGAGATGTAAAATAAGGTAGAACTGAGAGGATTTTGTAACAGGTAGAAAAAAAATGATAGAGGTAAGGGAAAAATTTAAGATGATTCCAAGGTTTCTGGCTTAGATGGCTGAGTAGTAGACAGTGATGCCTTTCATGCCGTTAATGAGTGCTAGGAGGGTTTTTCTTTGGGAAATCAACGAAGACTAATAAATTCAGTGTTAGCAAAATATTTATTTCCTATCCCTGTGACTTTAGGCTTTGTTATTCTAGAAGTCTTGTTTCAAAGGGACGAATCCTTCCACTAGGAGACACAACAAATGATTTAACTAACCTGAAGTTGAGACTCCAACTTTACTCTGAAGTTCGAATCAAGAGGCAATGAAGATGGTTACTGTATTCACTGGGGATGACTGATACTAACTTTCGAGGGGAATCTGGGTTACTACTGCACAATACAGGAGAAGAGGAGTGTGTCCAAAATGCAAGAGATCTCTATGACATCACTTAGCATTTCCCATGTCCTGAGATTCAAGTCCATGAAAAATTGAAAGGGGTTTTGTAGAACTGCAAATAGCAGAACTAATTCAGAAAGGACTACTAAATAGCCCACACCTTCAAGAATGAAAGCCTGGGTCATCCCACCAAGCAAGGAACCAGGACCAGCTGAGATACTAAGAGCAATGGGAATACAAAATGAGTGGTGGAAGAACATGTATAACAGCTATAACCACATGACCACCGCAGAAATATGGACTACAATAGTTACAAGTATTTCTTCCTTAATTTGATACATATGTGTTTAAATACACATATGTGTGTGCGTGTATTAACCAAATATTTTTGGGTTCATTTGTTTTCTTCCTTGTTATCTAACATTGTATGTGTTAATCACAGTTCACTTTATATTTCAGTATTTAAGTTACAAAACATGAAAGAAGGAGTGTGAATCAGGTAGGAAAAGAATGAACTAATATTATCCTAAAGAAGAAAAAAATAAAAAGACTTGGCCGGGCGCGGTGGCTCAAGCCTGTAATCCCAGCACTTTGGGAGGCCGAGGCAGGTGGATCACGATGTCAAGAGATCGAGACCATCCTGGTCAACATGGTGAAACCCCGTCTCTACTAAAAATGTAAAAAATTAGCTGGGCATGGTGGCGCATGCCTGTAATCCCAGCTACTCAGAAGGCTGAGGCAGGAGAATTGCTTGAACCCAGGAGGCGGAGATTGCGGTGAGCCGAGATCGCGCCATTGCACTCCAGCCTGGATAACAAGAGCGAAACTCCGCCTCAAAAAATAAAAATAAAAATAAAAAATAAAAAGACTTATGTGCTCCTCTGGGGAAAGAGAATGTTTTTGGTTGTCCAGGAATAATGTCTCATGCTAGATGTGAAAATCTCCCAGTGACCCAACCTAATCAGAAACATATGGGAAAGGCAGCCAGGCACGGAGGCTCATGCCTGTAATACCAGCACTTTGGAAGGCAGAGGAGAGTGGATCACCTGAGGTCAGGAGTTTGAGACCAGCCTGGTCAACATGATGAAACCCTGTCTCTACTAAAAATAGTAAACTCAGCTGGGCATGGTGGTGTGCACATGTAATCCCAGCTACTTGGGAGGCAGAGGCAGGAGAATCGCTTGAACCCAAGAGGTGGAGGATGCAGTGAGCTGAGGTGGTGCCCCTGCACTCCAGCCTGGGTGACAGAGTGAGACTCTGTCTCAAAAAAAAAAAGAGAGAGAAAGGGAATTTGAGGAAATATAGTGCAGCCTAGCCAACATGACCTTTTACAAACCCATTGCAAGGAACTTAAAAATACAAAAACCCACAATAAACAGAGAGAAGAGGTAATGAGCAGATGAGAATCTGGTTTTTAAATTCTGAAAGACAAAGAAAAAACTATGAATGGTAACTTAAAGAGCAGAAAGAAGCTACAGTTTAGAGTACTGATGGCAGAAGGGGATAAAATCAAAAGAAGGCTGGCTTACCCAGAGAACCTCAGAGAGAGTAAGGGTTCTCAAACACCAGGGGGTGCTAAGGAAGGAAAGGAGTAAAACTTGGGGCTAAAAATATGTAAACCTATATTCAGAACCATCAACCAGCCTTTCCCTAGGTTGAATGTCTCTTAAATCCTTGAGTCCCCTAGCAGTAGTGACAGTTCCTTACCCTATTCACATAAAGCAAAAACCTGACAGGTAACAAGCTCCTCTCATACACACAGAGCTCCCAAACAGCTTGTCAGTGTCTTCCATGCTTAAATATAAATGGACAGCCAAGGATTGCTAGATATTTGAGGAACATATCCAAAATGAAAGAAAAACTAAAGATAAATAAACAGAATCTGAATTTGGAGAAAACAATGCAAAAAGCAGAAAAGGACTGTCAACTCAAATTGTTATCCTCAGAGACATTCTTAAAGAGACTGCACCTATAAATCAAGAACAATGTGCTATTTATAAAAAGATCAGCAACAAAAAAAACATAGAAAAAATGTTTTCCGATTCTTAAAATAAAAGATGCAATAAAAGTATCAGAAGTTAAAGTATCTCAGAAAGTACAACAAAATGTAAGATAAAAGACACAAAGATAATCAATCAAACATGTCCAAAATCCTACTAATGAAGAGTTCCAGAAACACAAAAAGAGAGAGAAAAAAAATTAATGAAGAAATAGCACAAAGTATCCCAGAGGTGAGATTCCAATCTCCAGACAGAAGGGCCGAGCACACTGAGTACTCAGGACCATTAACAGTAAAACCAAGCAAGCAAACAAAAAACACTGAAATTTCAGAATACCTGAGATTTTTTTAAGTTTGGGGGAGAGGAGGTCACCAAAACAGGAAAAGAATTAGAACAGCACAACACCTACACAAGGTGATAGAACAAAATAGAACAATGATCCTAAAACCTTGAGGAATAATTATCTTCAACATCAAATTCTACATCCAAATTAGCAAGCAAGTGTGAGATTAGAATAAAGACATTTTCGGATACAGGACGACTCAGAAAATTTACCTCCCACCCACCCTTCCTTAGCAAGTGACTTGAGCATGCACTCCAGGAAATGGAGGTACTGAATGGTAACAGGAAGCCATGAGATTTGATAAACAGCAAATCTCATTCGTGAGATTTGATAAACAGCAAATCTCATTCGTCAAGGGGAATGAATGCTCTAGTTAACAGC